AAGATGAAACCTAGTCCTGACTCGTCAGCTGGTTATGTCTGTTCAGGCCGCCCTTCCTCTTGTGTGTCTGCACTTGCATGAGGGTGAACTCCATGTGTGTTACCAGCTCATTCGGGCTTAGAGGACATTCTGGGAGCAAATGGGAACAGGAAAGGGAGGAACTGGGTACGCCAGACACTGTGATCCTGAGGCAGACAGCACCCCTCATCCCTGGACTGGGCCCAGGATGGTGACTGACAGTGCCAGCCCCCCTCCCGCCCTTTAGAAAAGATAGGCAACTGTGAGCGGGGGTGGACAGGCCACTGGGCTCCTTTCTAGAAGGGTCAGGTCACAGTGTTTTAAGTTGGATTTTATTTCTTTTGACTAAAGATCTACCAGGGTATTACTTTGACCCCGAAAAGAATCGGTACTTCCGCTTGCTCCCTGGACATAACAACTGCAACCCCCTCACGAAGGAGGGCATCCAGCAGAAGGCAATGGAGGACAAAAGGCTGCAGCTGCTGGAGGAAGAGGACAGGCAGACAAAGGTGAGCTCCACGCTCGGGGGGCCACCTGTCCCCTGCACCCCTGCCAGCCCGCATCCACGGCTGAAGGCAGGTGCCCATTCAGCGCCCCTGCACGCTCCGCTTAGTGCACTTCTGGGATGTGGTGGTGACTTTTCCCTGACAGGAACCTGATGAAGAGAACAGAACAAGCGAGCAATCCCCTCCCACTCCATTTTCCCAATTTGCAGTGTTTCATCAGTACTTCTCACATTTGTCCTTCCCTGGGGGATCTTGAAAAGCAGCATGATACAGTTTCAGTGACTGTATATTTTAAATAGAAAACCAGGGTACATGGTTTGGATATGAGGGTTTCTTAGATGCCAGGACATTTGGATGGTTACGGGGCAACAGAATGGAAAATCCGGGGCCCCGGGGCCCCATAGGTCGAATGGAAAGCACGATGCAGACCTGAGTGTCCAGGGCCATTCCTGCACTCGCTAGCGTGGTGGCTTCTCCCGGGTACAGATTGACTGGGGGGCTTGGACAGAGGCACTGAGCAGACCTTCCAGTCACACATTCTTGCTTGTGATAGGCTTTTCCTCTTTTTTTTAAATATATTTTATTGATTTTTTACAGAGAGGAAGGGAGAGGGATAGAGAGTTAGAAACATCGATGAGAGAGAAACATTGATCAGCTGCCTCCTGCACACCTCGAGCCACTGAGGATGTGCCTGCAACCATGGTACATGCCCTTCACCGGAATCGAACCCGGGACCCTTCAGTCCAAAGGCCGACGCTCTATCCACTGAGCCAAACCGGCCAGGGCTAGGCTTTTCCTCTTGCCACGATGGGAGACCAGCCAAGGAGAACATCGGTTTATATGCATATAATTTCTGCCAATTTAGTACCTGTTTCTTCATTGCATCCTATGGAACTAAAAATATTCTCTATTATTGTATAACATAAAACTTCACTGAATCTATCTTTTTTTTTCTTTAATTTAGAAAATAACCAGGATGGGATTTAATGCCACTTCCTTGTTACAAAAAAGCAAGCTGGGTTTTCTCAACGCCACCAGTTATTGCCGGTAAGTCAGTGCCTCTTCACGAATATTCTTTTTCTGTTTCTTATTTCCATGGTCCAAGAATCCAATCGGGAGACCACATAGCTCATAGCTGCTCTGTGAGGAGCCTTCATAATTGAGGAGCTCTAGCTCACAGCCTGCCGTCTGCTGCTGGACCCGCCCTGAGAGAATCCCTCCTGGAGCACGGGGCGGACGTCTGCAGGAGGCCAGAGAGAGGAGAGGGGACCTAGGCAGAGAAACTGGGCGGACATTTCTCAGGATGTTTTCTCCGTTACTTATAAATCGTGTTTAGTTTAGTAGTAGGTCTTATCACTTCATTCCTGTGAGATTTCTGCCTCCTTTTCTCTTTACCTAATCAGTTACAAAAAATGGAACATTAAATAGATGTATGTGCACTAAACTTTATTTAAGTACTTGTGATTCCTGATATACTTCTAACTAAAGCCCTGTGAGATAGGTAGACACCTCCTCTGGTTTCTAGAAGAGACTGAGGCTCAGAGTGCAGTGATTTTTCTCAAGGTAAAGCTAGAAAGGATGGGATCTGACTCCCAAACCTGAGCTCCTAACCCCTGTGTTCTGCTGCCTCCCACTCTGTGTGGACAGGGGAAGAAACACCCTGAGTTTGGGTGGTTTATAGGGGACACAGCTCTCATCTTGGAGCAAGGCAGCCTTCCCTGTAGGCCAGCCCTGCAGGAGGTATGAGGCAGGGCAGGTAGGAGCCTGCCTCTCCTTCATTTCCCGAAAAGAGATAAATATCTCGGTAAAAAGACCTGTTCTTCTTTTTAAAACATGGTTTCTCCTTCGTGGAGGGGGAAGGGGCAGTAAGATGGACGGCCGCATGCCTGGGCTCTTCCCATTAGCTGGGTCTGTGCCCTTCAGCGTATTTCATTTCTCAGGCACCTTCTCTTGGTCTCGAGAAAGAGTTGTACCAGCCGTAACCGATTTGGCTCAGTGGATGGAGCGTCAGCCTGCGGACTGAAGGGTCCCAGGTTCGATTCCAGTCAAGGGCATGTGCCTTGGTTGCGGGCACATCCCCAGTAGGAGGTGTGCAGGAGGCAGCTGATCAGTGTTTCTCTCTCATCGATGTTTCTAACTCTCTGTCTCTCTCCCTTCCTCTCTGTAAAAAAAATCAATAAAATATATATTTTTTTAAAAAGAGTTGTACCAGATGATCCCAAAACAGATTCCTCGAGTTCTAACTTTCTTTGATCCTGTAAATGGGCTGCTTATTTCTTTGCTTTAGTTTTCCTGAGAGTTCTAAAACTGGATTTATTTGGGATCTTGCTCATTTCCGTTGCTGAGAGATAATAGGGAGGGGGCCAACGAGGTGAGGTGGTCTTCAGGGTGTGGGGCAGGGCAGATGCTCTGAATCTTCCTCATGGGTGTCCAGGTGTGGTGCCCATGCCCTCCCCGCCCCTCTCTTTCCCCTGCAGTTTAGCCCATGAGCTGCGAGTGAGCTGCATGCAGAGGAAGAAGGTTGAGATTCACAGCTCCGATCCCTCCGCTTTGGCAAGTGACCGATTTAACCTCATAATGGTGAGTGGGAGGGAGCCACATGTGGATGCCGGGGGTATTGCTGCCGTGCCTGACACTTTATGCCCTGGCACTGGCTCCCATCACGCCTGGCTGTGTAGATGCCAGTTGCATAAAAGCAGGTGTCCACTAGGTTTTATAGTTTTAACAGGCACCTACTGGCTATCCATTGGCAGGTGCCAAACTGGCAAGGAAGGCCACGGCGACCATTGTCCCCCCTACTACAGCTCTGTCATTTGACATGAGAATCAGGGCCCGCCTCACATTGACTGAGACCCATCAGAAGGGCACACAGTGGTTCGGGAGCATCTAATCTTCCCTATATTGGGCAGGATTTGGTGGCCAACCCTAGTGCTCCTGTGTCTTTAATAGCAACAGCAGGTTACTCCCTTGCTTGCTGTTTTGACCTGAGTAGAGGGGCCTGTAAGCCTGTGACCCTTGGCCTGCACCCCCACCCTCATCATGCCATTTACAGGGAGCAGAAATCTCCTCTTCTCTTGGTTAGACCCAGGCTGGAAGCCAGGGCCAACTACTTGAGTCCAGGGTCCAGGAAATGTTGGCAGAGGATTCACTGCAAACGGCAGGAGCCAGCCTGCTCAGGTAGACGGGATTCGAGGTCACAGTAGAGTATGGCCTGCCCAGCAAGCCCTGTCTTTCCTTGAGGCCTAGGGAAAACCCAAGAAAGAGAGAGACACACAAAACAAAGTGTCTCACCCAGCCATTGTGGCTCAGTGGTTGCTTGTCTACCTATAAACCAGGAGGTCAAGGTTCGATTCCCCATCAGGGCACATGCCTGGGTTGCAGGCTCAATCCCCTGTAAGGGGCGTGCAGGAGGCAGCCGACCAATGGCTCATCATTTATGTTTCTATCTCTCCCTCCCTCTCTGAAATCAAGAAAAATATATATATTTTTTAAAAAAGCGCCTCAGCCTGATGATCTCCTAACAGGACCAGGGGCTGAAGCTGCAGAATTGACCCTTGACATCTTGCCCCAGGAGACCTCAGTAGCAGAGCCCTTCCTCATAAGGGTGTCAGGGGCCAGGACTCACTCCCCCCGTATGTGTTTGGGGAGATATTTGACCTGAATACTTTCTTGCAGTGAGTTCCCCTCAGGTCATCTCCGCGCTCCCTCACGGACAGGCGCTCTCACCTGGTGAATATGCAGACCCGGGGCTGTGAGAGACTGGTGTTGGGCCTGCGAAGTCACCTACAAGCCACTTTCCCTTTCCAGGCGGATACAAACAGTGACCGGCTCTTCACCGTGAATGATGTCAAGGTTGGAGGCTCCAAGTACGGCATCATCAGCCTGCGTGGTCTGAAGACCCCCACGCTCCGGGTGCATATGCACGAAAACCTCTACTTCACCAACCGGAAGGTACTCGGCCCTCCCCTTCAGCTTTGCAGCCCACGTGCCTTTGGGCCGGGGCACTGCAGTGGTTAGCCACAGTCAGATAGAGAAGAGAACTTGGGGTGGAAGCCAGCGCTCTGTGCCTCATTTCCCCAAGGGAGAAGTGGAGTTGTAGATCCTGAGAACCATGGAGGAAGAAGCAAAGGCCTCAGGAGTTCCTTGTCTTGAAAGAGAAAAGAATTTAGATGTGGGAAGACTTGAAGTGGTGCTTCCTTAGCTGGTTGTACGGACTTCCCTTCAAGAGGATTGAGTTGGTTCGAAGGAGCCCACACAAGGCACACAGTTCCTGGGAGGTGGGCTGCAGTAGCCGGGGTGGAGGGTCCTCCCAGTGTGTCAGGACGATGTGTCAGTCGCTTAGCCAGTCTATGGCTGACACAGGTTTACATAAATGTGAAAAGCTTGATGTCTAAGGGGTAACCTTGAAACTGCAGTGGGGTGATAGCTGCGTCTATACGGTAAGAAGCTGTGACTTTCTGTTCTTTGGGATATGAGCCACAAGATATGGGAATGGTTTCTGGGTAAAGTGAGATCCAGTACGCCTTCAGAGTTAGGTGTGTTTCCTGCCATTGAAGAGAAGTCATCCCTGCCCTACAGGGTTTACCAGATGTCTCACTGTGAGGCCCATGCAGGACTGAGGCCTACGCGCTACCTCCTCCCTGTTCCTCTTTGAGGCTCTGTGTGCTAGGACAGGAGCTTCCTGTTCTCAGAATGCTTGTTCCAGCCCCTTTTAAAGGGGAGCTCTATCCCCACAAGTTATTCCACAAGAAAGAATCTGCTTGTCTCCATGAGTTGGTGGTCAGACCAATCTTTCCGTCCTCCTATGTGCTTCCTCACCAGGTGAACTCTGTGTGCTGGGCCTCGCTGAATCACTTGGATTCTCACATTCTGTATCTTTTGGCAGATGAAGAGGTTTGGTGGGGTTGGAAAGTGGTATCTTAGAAGTCAGAAGACTAGACCCGTCTGCACATACTTCACTCTTCCAGTAAGAGCACTGCACGTGGTAGAAGACAAGGATTCCCATGCTGCTCAGGGAAGTAGTTGAGGTCCTAGGGTGACTTTAAGGTCACTATGAACTTTAGCAGAGAATAAAGGAGAAAGGAACAGTAAAATCTTGGGAAGAAATCCCCAGTCCTCCTGAAGCAGAGGTAGGAACAAGAGCTGCAGTCATCCCGAGGTTGGGTGGGCCTCCTGGGGGGTGAGGGCTGAGGCAGGCATCAGAGAAAGGGGGTTCCTTTGGCATGGGGCATGGGCCTGTGGGCTCTGGACCTGGGGTTCCTGCGGAGATGGCCTTCTTTGGAGCACTCTTCATTCTCTGCCTTCCCAGAGAGCCATCAGGGCTTCTTTGCTGGGAGCACAGTAGTGCAGTGTCAAGGTAGCTGGGCCCTTCGTCTGGGGTCCATGGGGTTTCTCGATACATAGGACAACTGTCCAACAGGTGATTCACAAAAGAATATTGTATGACCCCAAGCCAAAGCCACATGTTAATGAGTCTTGCCTTGAATCATTTCCATAATAAATGAGTTATTAAAATGATGGCCACTGGTACCCAACACCTACTTCATGAGTTGCCATGCGGTTAACAGTTAACATCTGTGAATGCACTTAGCACAGTGCTTGGCATGTATGGGTCCTCAACAAATGATGGCTGAATCTGAACCTGTTTTTAAATGTATGACAGTGACTCTGTTTCAGAGGGTTTTAGAGCCTAAATTAGAGATCTGATTATAAATTTTACATAGACAAACAAAACTGTGTTTGGTAAATTGAAAGTTTTATGTGGCTTTCTTTTGGGGTGATGGCACCACCCATGACTGTGATGAAGTTACCAGAGGACAGAAGAGGCCAACCCTTAAAAGTGAGAGAAAACAACAACCTCACTCTCATTTTTAAATTTAAAAACAGTATGGTATTTTTTTCATGTTTCTGTGGGCTGAGAAGAGGATAGAAATCCGTGTAATTGGGTTTGAAGAGTATGAAGAGTATGGTCTGTTGCTGCTTGCCCAGCGGCTTGCCCTCTGGTGGTCATCTCAGGTAATCTTCAGGCTTCTGTGCACCTCCTCCTGCTGCACAACATGGAGCTTGCTTCCTTTACCAAAATGAGACCTGCATTCTGCATTTTTAATCTTCAGGCTTTTGTGCACCTGCTGCTCTGCACAACATGGAGCTTGCTTCCTTACCAAAATGGTACCTTTTGAGACCTGCATTCTGCATTTCCCCCAAAGAGTGGTGGAAGGTTAGACTAAATTCTCTTCTACACTTGCTGGGCTCTCTGTTAACCTGTGGCCTGTTACAGGATTAAATCTACAATTCTGGCCCTGTAAGTCATTCCAAAGTTTGGCTGTAACCTGGGTTTCAGCCACGTAACTGAAAGTGCATGTGTAAGGACGTTTTCCCCACATCATAGCCCTCCACACTAGAGATACTTACTATCTAAGGGCAACATGACACACACGCATCAGACAGACTGCCAAAAATGTTGCCTGATTGCTTTGCAAATATTTATATTTTTTGATGAGGTGTGTATGTGTATTCATTCCCCCAACATCTACTGAGCATATACAATACCTGTGCAAAGTGCTGGAGGTGGGCAGCTCCCCAGGTGATCAGTCTGTAGTGGTGTCTGTGTTGCAGCTGGATGTAAGAGGGATGCAGGTATTGGGTCAGCCTGCCTGGAGGTGATTCCTACATGGAAAGAAGGGGCCAGTGCTCCATCAGGAGAAAGAGTCAGGAGACCATGCACATGGGTATCCATGATGTCTCTGGCTAAGACTGAATCCTCAGGGATGTGGGATGCCCATGGAAGACTGTGATCATGGAGGCATTTCTTACACAGGCTGACGACGGTGAGACCTCAGACAGAAGGCTGCTGCAAGATTAAGTGGGCAGTGGAGAGGGAGTGAGTGAGGAGCAGGAGTGGAGGAGAGGCACGCTTCTAAGAGGCTTGGGACCCAGGCCAGGCAATGCTGGTGTTCGGAAGAGTCCAAAGATGGAACTCCAAGAGAGGTGGTGTGGAGAACAAGGAGGGTGTAGTTAGAAGTTGTGCTGCATGACCACAGGACAGGACTGGAGGGTGTTCGTCAGATTCAGAAACGGGCTCATTGGAGACCTTGGGGAGGACACTTACTGGAAAAGTGTCATACCTGGATTTTAGTGAGTTGAGTGAAAGAAAGGCAAGGAGTGGGGATAAATGTAGGTTCTGATTGAGAGAAGTTAGGCTGTGAAGGGAAAGGGAGAGGAACCAAATCAATCAGAAGACAGTACAATAGAAAAGTAGGCAATGAATATAAAGAGACAGTTCAAAAGGGAAACCCACATGACTAATCAGACGAATCAGTACACCCAGTTATGGTTAGGGAAATGCGAATTTAAATAATGGGGAAGATTTTTACCCTTTCAGATAAGCACACATTTTCAAAGTCTGATAGTGCCAAGATCTGACAGATGTGGAGAATGGGGAACAGTGCTAGATAAGTGCATTGATATAACCACTTTAAGTTGGAAGTTGGGGATGCAAGAACCTTACAACCCACAGGCCCATCCACCCCAGGTATAGACATAGGAGCACCTCCCAAGCTGCAGGTCATGGCCTGTCAGTGGGCTATGAAAGGAATTTGTGAGCAGCATTTCTAAAGTGAAATAGACTAGAAAATATGAGTTTCATACTTAGAAAGGGCAAATCCTATATAATAAAACCCTAATATGCAAATCAACTGAATAGCAGAACAACCGGTTGCTAGATGCATACTGACCACCAGGGGGCAGGCACTCAATGTAGGAGGTCACACAGGGGGAGCGCCGCTCAGCCAGAAGCCGGGCAAAGGGCTGGCGAGCACAGTCCACAGCAGTGCTAAGGAGCAGCAAGCCGAGTGGTAAGGAGCGGGGTCCTGGACTGTGAGGGCACAGGCCAGCCTGAGGGAAAACCCCCTTTCCCCCCCTTCCCCCTCCCCGCCCAGTGTACGAATTTTGTGCACCGGACCTCTAATATTTTATAAACTTTTATTTCAAATATTTGTGTGTGTATGGCATGTAGTACTGTAGAATTAAATTCTTACTCTGGGATTAAGAAACACTACCTTAGAAAAGGCTCCCACACATGGGCCTGGGAGACAGGAAGGCACTCATTCCAGCAGAAGAGCAAAAAGAGAAGCAACCACCTAAGTGCCCAGCAGAAGACGAATAAATCAGTTGCGATGCATTTATACAGAGAATGGTGTAAATGAAGGAGCTGGGGCTACAAACCTCCACGCTGATAAATCTAGAAGACAGTGGAGATTGGTCTGTGTGATGCCGTTTACATCTGTTTTTAAAACAGTAACATTCTTTCTGTTGCTCATGGACAAATGTGCTGTGGCAGGATAACGTGGCCTAGAACGCAGACCAGTTTAGAACGGTGCTTCCTTCTGGGTGAGGGAAAGGGAGAACTGGGCTGGGAGGGGTTAGAGGGGGCCGTTAGCTGTGTCTGTGACATTGTTTCCTTTAAAAACATCTGAAACTAAATGTGGGAACTCTGAGTGTTCAGTCTGGCTTTGTGGGTGTTATTTTTATAATCTTTGAAGGGCACCGATGCCCACTCTCCTCCCAGAGGAGAGCTTGTACTTGACTGTCCTTAACAGAGTTTCCAGGCTGTGCCTCATGGGGATTGCGGAGACTCCGGGCTGTGCCACCCTGCTCCCAGCGTCACTGTTCGTCAATAGTCATCCAGGTACCAGGGCCCCCCCTTTTTTAATAAGGAGATACAGTGACAGAGGTCTCTGTCCTCTGCCTCCCCGAGGCTACAGCCAGCAACACCAGAAGCTCCTTGGCGAAGGATTGGACCAGGAGGGTGGGAACCACAGGCTGAGTGAACCAGTCGGAGCTCACAGGGTGGGGACGGCAAGCACCTGTGAGGAGTCCTTACACCTGACCCAGGATTTGTACTGGAAGCAGGTGCATCTTTCTTTTTTAAAAATATTTCCATTGCTTTTTAGGGAGAGGGAGAGAGACATCAGTGATGAGAGAATCATTGATTGGCTGCCTCCTGCACGTACCCTACTGAGGGTTGAGCCAGCAACCCAGGCAAGTGCCCTGACCAGGCATCAAACTGTGCGTAGGACGATGCCCAACTGTCTGAGCCACACTGGTCAGGGATGCATTGGCACCTTTACATATTTCCTTCTTTTGGGTCATTTCAGGGGCCAGAACACTTAAAAGTATGTGTAATCAATGCAAGAAATCAAAACATTTGAGCTGCTGGTACAGATCATTCACAAAGGTGTGGCCCACTGGTGTTATTAGGGACATTTACATTCTCTGGCTGAAGGCAGTTCAGAATTCTGGACTTCTTCCTGGCAGCATTCTGAAAATTAAGTTTCCAGCCTTTCAGGGAATTAGGATCAATTAGACAAGGGTCAGGCCTCTAAGAGTACAGGCTTCAGGCAGACCAGCACGAATCCCAACTTGAACAGATTACTTAACCTCTGATGATACCCACCCATCAGGTTACATGGAGTGTTAAATGAAGTCATGTACACTTGGCATAGGGCCTGGCATTTCACTGAATAGCTAGTGTATGGGGCAGGTATTATACCAAGTTACAGATGAACAGGCCAAGAGAAGTTCAGAATTTGCCTTTAAAACTAATCTGTGGCCTGATCCATGTGGGTCAGTGATTGAGGGTCACGATTTGATTCCTGGTCAGGGCACATGCCCCCTTCCCCCTCCACCCCCCCGCCTCCCGGGTTATGGGCTCAATCCCATAAAACATCCTGGGTTTTGTGGTAGCAAAAAAAGACCCTGGTTCTCTGGGGTCCCTGGTCAAAAGCGGCTGTTCTGAGAATGAATATATAAACCTTTCCTGACGTCCAGAAGAAGTGTCAGAAAGACTAGCAGCTGTCGGGGAGGCAATGTAGAGTCACAGATCAGAGGGCTTCAGTCTCAGATCACATTATTAGATGTGCAATATCAAGCAAAACATTTTTTAAATAAACTCTTTTATTGATAAAACATACATAAAGGGCACAAATCTTAAGTATGTAGTTTAATGAGCTATCACAAGGTAAATATAGCCACCACCCAAGTTAAACAGAATTTTCAGTACCCTCCCAATTACCATTTCCCTAAAGGGGCCCACTGTCCTGACTTCTAACACCACAGTTTATTTGTTTGTTTTTGAATATATTTTTATTGATTTCAGAGGGAGAGGGAGAGAGATAGAAACATCAATGATGAGAGAGAATCCTTGCTCGGCTGCCTCCTGCACGCCCCTGAGCAGCTGTTCCTGGAGGTTTCCCAAATCAGTGGTTACTGACATGGCAGCGTGAAGGGAAGGTCTCTGTCCCTCGAGGGCAGCCATGCTGTACACTCACTGCTTCTCTCAGCAGGAGACCGGCCTGGCATGCTCTGTAGTTTCCGGATCCCTGGGGCCTGGTCCTGTGCGTGGTCCTCGAACATCCAGGCAAATAACTGCTTCAGCACAGGTGAGCCAGGGCTGCCACCCCAGGTTCCCAGAGAAAAGGACGTTTCAGACCTTAAATCCCCATATCCCGCAATCCCTCCCCCAGATTACAAGTGACACTTGTCTCTCCGCCCCATCTCTCTCTCTGTCAGGCTTGTCTCGGTGGGTCCTGGTGACCAACGTGGTGACGGGACACCGGCTGTCGTTTGGGACGAGCAGTGATGTCTTGGCCCAGCAGTTTGCTGTCATGGTTGGTGGGACTGGGAAGGGCCTAATACAGTTTCCCAAGAGTGGAAATTTTGCTGGATTGAAATTGGACTACC